CAGCAGAAGGCTACTAAACACCCACTGTTCTCATAACCGCGATGAGCATCCACCGATGGAAACATCTCTTCGACATTCATATGGTGGAAGTGTGCGGTTAAGCGTATAAAAACAATAATTTTCTTGGTTGCAAGAACTGTTTCATAAAAGAATGGGAAAGGAACGGTCGGTGGCAACTGCTGCAGAGGGCTCGAATGTCGATGGGGCCGAAGATGAAGGCGATCTGGATGAGTCGACAACCAGTAAGTTTAATATCCGAGAACGCTCCAGCTTACAACCATAACAATTCCCAAAGCTGTCGTTTCTGGCAGCTCCAAGGACTGCTTATGATCGCTTTGCACCAAATTTCTCATCACTGGAAAGCTTTTTGAAAAAGCGAGTACTTCCGCATTGCTTTTTTTCCCTTCCTCCCACTCACTGGAGTTTGTACCCTGCTGTGAATTTTGGTTGCAAGATAACGTTGTTGCAAAATAAAAATTTGAAAGATGAGGAAGGCTGGTACTGAGCAAAATCCCTCCGTAGAGGTTCAGCAACTGGTCAGAGCAGTTTTGAAGCATATTAAGATTTAACACCGATTTATCAGTATTTATCACTGTTATCATCTCCGACCTATGGTGAGATAAGCATGCTGGCAGAGTCTGGCATGTCAAGATTCATGCGCGTTTGCCTGCTTTGGACCGGGCAGCGAACGGATGTCACTTTGGCTAGTAGCTGATATCAAGAGGTGTCAAGCAACTACGCCAGATGGCCCGGGATCATGTTATCCCAACGCTTTAGCTCCTCCTTCCTGATCCTGGATAGCTGCATCACTCTACTCCTGGTGTTATGTGCTTTTGAAAACCATGATTAGCACGTGACAGATGAACTTAGCTCCCCAAAGGGCATCACACCAGCAGCAAAGCGAGATGGCTGTCCAAGATCGTCACCAGCGCCAGGAGTCGAAGCACCCAGAAAAGAAAAAATTTGGAACGGCAAAGCCACTGCTTGAAAAGACTTGAAACGACAAAACTGCCATTCAAACTAAAACAACAAAACCACCACCTAATTTAAAATGACAAAGTTGTGACAAGAAAAGCATAATTCAATTTGAAACGACAAAAAAGTTGAAAAAAAAAAGTATTATTCAATTTGAAATGGCAAAAAAAGTATTATTCACTTTGAAATGACAAAACA